CTTACAGGTTCGTTTGGTCTGGGCAGATGACGTTTTCATTCCGTCAATAGTTTAATTTATCAGGACTGAAATAATTACGTGGGTCGTTTTCAAATTTGGGGCCGGAAGCGAGTTATTTGATTTAATTTTCATAACCTTAAGATTACCGTAATTATAAGTACCTACAGTAAATTTATTGTCATGACAACAGGCACATGTTCTTATAACTATATATTCGTAAACACTGTTAAATTAGGAGTTATACATTAAAAACTACCCCAAATCTCATTAGTATCACTGGTTCGAAATTCAAATTCTAACTTGTTTGCTATTTTTCTAGAAATGCGTGTTGAAGTTCGGCAATTTTATTTAATCAGTATATAATACAATAATAAAGGAAAACTAACTGGATATTAGAACATTATTAAAAACAAAAAAGTACGATTTCTAAGCTTTTTAAAAAAGTTCCTATTTAAATTGTAATCTGTGTTATCAAATGCGTAAAATGAAAAATAATTTTTTATTTTTTATTTTATTGCTTAGATGTGTCGACGAGCTCACAGCCCACCTGGTGTTAAGTGGTTACTGGAGCCCATAGACATCTACAACGTAAATGCGCCACACACCTTGAGATATAGTTCTAAGGTCTCAGTATAGTCACAACGGCAGCCCCACCCTTCAAACCGAAACGCATTACTGCTTCACGGCAGAAATAGGCGGGGCGGTGGTACCTACCCGTGCGAACTCACAAGAGGTCCTACCACCAGTAATTACGCAAATTATAATTTTGCGGGTTTGATTTTTACTGCACGATGTTATTCCTTCACCGTAGAAGTCAATCGTGAACATTTGTTGAGTATGTATTCCATTAGAAAAATTGGTACCCGCCAGCGAGATTCGAACACCGGTGCATCGTTCGATACGAATGCACCGGACGTCTTATCCTGTAGGCCACGATGACTTAAACGAATATTATATAATATTATCAATAAATGAGTGAATGACGATTGTTATGAAGCATTTTTTATTCTGAACATGCCTAAATACAAAAAATGGAAAATTAGAGAAAGTTTAAATTCATGAAATCGTTACTTTTTTGGCCGCAAATTTGAAAACGACCCACGTATCGTATGAGCACAAAATAAAACTTTTGCCTAAATTATGTAATTTTACATTTATTTCGTTGCGATGGACACATCTTGTTGATGGCTTAGTGGCTATCGGACGGCTGCAGGCGTGAATTTCCGAACCATACCGGAAGCCACGGCTTGGGATGAAGTATGCGTTAACGCCTTCGCGACTTACAGCCGTCGTGGTGTCAATTGCCAAATGTGGTGCTAAATATACTAATACGACCTATTAACTTTATACAAAACATTACAATATTTTATATCGCGAGGTACATACGTCATCTACATATATCCTATTTTAATAGCATTATCTAAGCACAAAACGCACCTAAGTTTACTGATTCAATAACATTTATCTCAGACTCCAAGAATGGTCCTGCCCATACGAAAACATTGCGATGTACGTGTACATTCTCGCATCGTGGAGATAGATCTAAAGATAAATCGCAAGGCGTTACATAATTCAAGGGAATTCACCGTATTTGGTGTTTCAGTAACATGTCCACAGAGACAAAGATAAGATTGTAATCTTTTAGCGTATTGTTTTGTTTATAACCTACGTTCCCCTATCTGGATGGTAAAGAAGCTCTCACACAACTTGTGCTTTGCATAAAATTTTGTAGCACTAGTTTTCTTTTGCAACTGTGGGGCAGACAGAATTGTAAAATATACTTTATATTATGAATTCAAAACAGTAACTCATTCTAGTTTTATTTTCATATCTCCAAATTACGGTTACGACAGTGAGATATATGATAACAAAGTCCAGTGCATAAAATGAAAATAATTTGAATTAAAGTTTTTAAATGTTTTTTTTTACTATAAAATCTTAAATAGTATGTAAAACGATCTAAAATGGTGACTGTCTGTTCAACTTCAATGTGTTGCTCGTAATGGGTAGGCTCACACATCCGTCTTCTATCCTAGATCAGAATCTGATCACACACCTCAAAAAACTTATATCATATCTACCATATCCAGCCATTACTAGTAATATCTACCCATTACTAGCTATCTAGCAGCTTGCCAATACCCTTTGATTAATTTTTATTAATATTATTAATATCTTATTACTATCTCAGCTACCAGCAAACTAGTTAACCAGTGTGTGTCCCTTGAACTTCGAAACGGTCCTCAGAAGTTCAAGAAACAAGCTTTGCGCTTTGTTTGGGATTTACTGCAACCCCATTACTCCTGTATGTCCTTATTTACAACTGTAAAATTCCAGCATCGAATATGGATGGCTATGTATTGTATCTTTTGATAAATAAATATCTTTAATATCAGAATTATTTTCAGAAAGCCTGTATATATTATATGTAAATAATGCACATTTGGGTTAGTTTTTGTGAATAATCATTCTATTGTTTTGTTCCATTGGGAAACGAGCTGCGATGGTCTGAGTGGCTCCGAACCGTGCGTTTTGTGACATTCATTGAATATTGAAATGTTATCTAAAGATTTGAAATCTCGTGTTGATAGGATATTTTATATTACGAGAGCCCACTTTAAGGGCACTTACTACTCACATTCACTTGAGAACTCCTGAAATTATTTTTCTTACGTCATATTATATAGTATATAAAGACCGGAAATAATACGAGAAATTTAATTCGTGCGTTAAAGATACCAAATGCATCGCTAAGTAGGTACAATGTAATCAATTCAAGGGATTTTTGACTGTATATCCTTGGAAATAGGACAGTGACGTAATGATAGCCAAAGTTAGGTCGTAGTGGCGCCGAAAGATCTATGGTACGGTATGCTGATGGAGTACACAGGATGGCGGCGCAGATGTGGATGAGAATGGCGGCGAATGGGCATTGTGGTATAAAAAAGGAGAGTACTATGGCCAGCAGTGGAGCAGCATTTATATTCTTGGCATCGCCAATAGCTGTTTCTGTCGTCTTTATTGTTTTCTATGTTTCAAATACCTTAAGCGTTTTATTAGTTACTAACGACTGAGCTGCCATATTACTCAAAAACATTTGAATGTTGTGCTCCGTACAGTGTAATACAGTATAAATGATTTCTTATCTTTTACGTTTCTTTGGGTAAATGAACTTGTAAGTGTTTTAGCCGAAATAATTAACGGTACAGTCTAAATTGTCGCTTTTAGATTAGGACGGCTATTTCTTTAAACGCCTCAGCTGTGGACTTCGTTACCTTTATGGCATCATAGAGTCAAAATTATCGTTTCGGAGCATTTATCTAAGGGGTCATAAGTATCGTGTAGATAGGACGTGTAATTTGAAAACTTTCTATTAAATGATTTGTTGTTTTGAGTCTGGAAAAAAACTTTAGACTGTTAGTTTCTTAGGCTATGGGATCAAATTCCGAGCTGGTGATTTAGCAGCGCTGTCGAGATGGAAGATAGCGACAGACAAATGACCAGTAATTGTTACAACACGCGCCATTGTTTCGGAGGCGGGACTGACTTTCTATGGCGTTCCTGTGACTCGAGCCGAGGGTTACGCGGACCCGGTGGTTCAGAATGGTTTTAATGGTGATTACTATTTTCATAAAAAAACATTTTTTTTTTAAATATGGTGAGCCAATGCGACTAAGTTTTATACTTTTTTTATTTATTGCTTAGATGTGTGGACGAGCTCACAGCCTACCTGGCGTTAAGTGGTTACTGGAGCCCATAGACGTCTACAACGTAAATGCGCCACACACCTTGAGACATAAGTTCTAAGGTCTCAGTAGAGTTACAACGGCTGCCCCACCCTCCAACCGAAACGCATTACTGCTTCACGGCAGAAATAGGCGGGGCGGTGGTACCTACCCGTGCGGACTCACAAGAGGTCCTACAACCAGTAAGAAAGATACGATACCAGTAGTAAGAAAGAAGTGTTACTCATTTCTGCGGCATATCAGACTTGTGTTTCTTTTCGAAGTCAATGACAGCTAGGGTTCTTTAATCAAGCTTATTACTTAATCTATTATAGTGTTTTAACTGCTTGAAACCAGGTTGATTCCGGGCTTATCTGACCAGCAATGCCAATGTAGAGCTACTGATTAATACCGGAAAAGAATCTCCACGGCACAATGTACTAAACTATACGTAAAACTTCATGGCAACCCTATGTTGGCGTCATGTGAAAATCTCTCAAAAATCGAGGTCGACCGATGAGAGATTCTTAAAGTATCAATTTAGATATTCGCATGCAGTAATTACATGGTTGTACACAGTGTCGACACGTCAATAGAAGACGACCGTGCTGAATGATGTGGGAATATATGTCTAGCAGAGTAGGATTGAATTATTCAGATCTAGGCACCTTCAAATATCGTATTGAAATATTTTGTATTATAGATACGTATCCGTGTAGCAAGCAGTGCCAGCGCCGTAGATATTTAGTAGCTAAAGAGATGTCTACTTTGGTAATGAAATATGCAATCTATCTTCACGAGCAAGAGGAGTATACGCTTTATATATTGTACACTAGCTGACCCAGCAGACTTCGTTGTGCCTCAATCGATAAATAAGAGATCTAAACTTTTGTGTAAAATAAGCTTTAAGCAAACAAAAGGAATCCGTCCGACGGGGGACACATCAAAGGGAAAACAAAATTGTTATTTTTATAAAATTCCGAGCATTTGCATATTTATCTACCTTTTAAACCTTCTCTGGACTTCCACAAATAATTAACAAAATTAATCAAATCGGTCCAGTCGTTCTCGAGTTTTAGCGATACTAACGAACGGCAATTCATTTTTATATATATAGATAGATTGGCGCTGACATTTTGTATAATAATAATGAAAATCAGTTCATTTTGAGAGTCAATCATCGGCAACATCATAATTCCTAAAGTAAAGCAATCGTTAATTCCCCTTCCAAAACAATGAGTAGCACTGTAGCACTAGCAAAGTACAAAAGCGAACCTGTACAGAGTGGGCCTGATGTTTCGTTCTGCGGCCGCCTCTGCTTGTTCTATGAGCTGTGCCAGCGCCCGCGCCTGTTCGCTCAACGTCAGTAGCTCCAACTCTTCACGTCCCAACTTGTACTGTAGCTCTGCCTGTTGGATCCTAGTGTCGATGTTGCTGAAACCAAGAAGACTTTTGTAGGCATACGTTTAAATCAAAATGCATACACGGAAATTATAAGTAACTAGCTGACCCGGCAGACTTCGTAGTTCCTCAATCGATAAATAAAAGACCTAAATTTTTGTATAAAATAAACTTAAAACAAACAAAAGGAAACAGTCCAACAGGGGACACATCAAAGGAAAAACAAAATTGTTATTTTTATTTCATTACGAGCATTTTCATATTTATCTACCTTTTAAACCTTTAAACCAGAGAACTGAACTTCCACAAATAATTCAAGACCAAAAATAGCCAAATCGGTCCAGCCATTCTCGAGTTTTAGCGAGACTAACGAACAGCAATTCATTTTTATATATTTAGATATGATACGTAAAGCTTCGTACATAATTACTATAGGGCGTAATGTAAGCCTGCGCTGTAAAGAACAGGCATCCTGTCCAAGCATTAATGTTTCCTGGTTTAATTAGCGAGCAGCAGTTATCCTATGAAGTTCTGAGTTGAGTTGAGTCCTATGAATTCCGAGTTCTGGCTCTTGTGACCGGGTACCATTTCGTCAACCAATTACGAGCAATAAAAATGCATAAATCCGGAGAAAATTGAAAAAAATTAACTAGGTATATACCTAGTCAGGTCATAAATTCTGTCACATGTTTAATGTAAAATAATTGAAACAAGTTTATTCATTATGTAACCATTCATATACCAAAATGAACTTAACAAAACATAGATTCTTATGACACTAAAGTTTATTCAAAACGACCTCCGTGATTTTGAATACAGGCCTTCAATCTGCGCGGCCAGTCGTCTATCGCAGCACGAACGAGGTCCATGTCAATATCGGCGGCTGCCTTAATCAAGGATGTCTTGAGTGACTCCAAATTGGGATGAGGCTTTGAGCACGCCTTTTCCTCCAAGTGTTGCCATATCTTGTAATCTAACGGATTCAAATCTGGACTGGAGGAGGGCCAGTCTTCGTGCCGGATGAAGTCGATTTCACGCGCCGCCAGCCAGTCTTGTGTGCTCTTCGCTCTATGAGCTGGCGCCGAATCTTGTTGGAATACCCAGTGCCTGTTATTGAACATGGTATGAGAAACAGGTTCCACAAGGTTCGTCAGGACTGTATTTTGATACACAACTGCATTCGTTTTTACACCTTTCTCACAAAAATGTACCTCTGTTAAGCCCCAATAAGAAACTCCCAACCATACCATGAGCGAGGATGGAAAATGACCTCGTTGGACACGCGGAATACGGTTGCTCGCTTCTTCACTACTGTGTGCGTACACCTTATCATTTTGTTTGTTGTAGCTCTCTTCTACGGTAAAAATTTTTTCATCCGAAAAAAGAATTTCCCGATATTTTTTTCCCGCGTACCGCTTCAACAAAGCGCGGCATCTCTTCAGTCTCAGGTCCATTAGACGAGCATTCAAACGATGTCCTGTTTTTCTTCGATATGCCCGGAGCCCTAAGTCTTCATTTAACACCCTTTTCACCGTGGTTCTGCTTAACCCCATCTGAAGGGCCAACAGTTTCTGTTTACGTTTGGGATTTCTTTGAATTCGCGCCTTCACAGCTTTTATCACTGCTGGAGTCCTAACAGACCGAGGGCGACCACTTCTTGACCTGTCATATACACTAGTCTTCATTGTATCGTTTGATGGTACGATAAACGAATCTTTTGGTTATATTAAAAATTTTCAGTATGTTAAAAATTTGAATTGGCGCGTAACCGCAACGATGCAACGCAATAACTACAACATGGTCTTCTTTAAGCGTCCACTCTATATTTAAAAAAGGAGTAAAATTCTAAAAGTATACATTTTTATTTTCATGAACAATTCGAAATTCGAATTCAATAAACTTTTTTGTGGCCAGCATTCTAAAAGAAAAGTTTTTACTGTGTGACAATACTTATGACCTGACTAGGTATATTTATTATGTATTTAAAGTAGAGCAATTACTAAAGCCGATGAGACAGCAAATCAAATTAGCTTTGGAATAATATGGGTATTGCATTTAGCACCGAATTTCACTAACCTCATGGACTTAATGACGCACAGCATTACTTGGGTCCTACTTCTATTACCATTTAACATTAACACTTACTCGGTAACGTGAGTCTTGTCAAGCCGTCTCCTCAACTCTTGTATATTCTCTCGTCTAGTCTCCAGGTCTGCTTTGACTGCTGCAGCACGTTCTTCCAGTGCTCTTTGTTCTTCTAGCGACAGAGTGGCGGCCTCTTCATGGCAACTGGCTCGGGACGCGGGGGGAGAGGCAGCTTGGGCAGCCAAACGCGCGGCGCTCAGTGAAGCACTGAGTTGTTTCTTCAAGCTAGAAAAGTACTACTTTTCACGAACTTCACAAAAACAGACATTACAGATGATATGAATGTCATTAATGATAGTTATGTGTTAGATTTTTTAAGTTACTAACATAGATTATAAGTAATTCTTACTAACAAAATATGTTATGGTTGAAAAAATAAAAAACTGAAATAAAGTATAAATAAATAAATTACAGAAGCAGCGGGGTTTTGATACTAGTTTTTTTGTTGTTGCTTAGATGGGTGGACGAGCTCACAGCCCACCTGGTGTTAAGTGGTTACTGGAGCCCATAGACATCTACGACGTAAATGCGCCACCCAACTTGAGATATAAGTTCTAAGGTCTCAGTATAGTTACAACGGCTGCCCCACCCTTCAAACCGAAACGCCTTACTGCTTCACGGCAGAAATTGGCGGGGTGGTGATACCTACCCGTACGGACTCACAAGAGGTCCTACCACCAGTTTTTGTACCACTTTGGGTTTAGTGGCAGCCTAGCCTTTCAATAAAAAATTTACAGGCCGGGCGCTCTTTATTTTATTTTTTTAATCTTCTTTCGGTATATTCTGGATTGTAATAAATAGTTGATAAACATTACCAATCGATATTTTTAATGACATAGCCGATGGCTGCGTTTATATTGGACCTACTATTAATTCCAATTTAATCTCGGGATTAATCTCAATAAGCACAGCGGAGGTAATACGTGCGGGTTTTGTTTTCCTACCTATGCTGATAGCCTTGAGAGGCTACCTAGTCAGGTCATAAGTATTGTCACACAGTAAAAACTTTTCTTTTAGAATGCTGGCCACAAAAAAGTTTATTGAATTCGAATTTCGAATTGTTCATGAAAATAAAAATGTATACTTTTAGAATTTCACTCATTTTTAAATATGGAGTGGACGCTCAAAGAAGACCGTGTTGCAGTTATTGCGTTGCATCGTTGCGGTTACGCGCCAATTCAAATTTTGAACATACTGAAAAATTTGAATATAACCAAAAGATTCGTTTATCGTACCATCAAACGATACAATGAAGACTCTAGTGTAGATGACAGGTCAAGAAGTGGTCGCCCTCGGTCTGTTAGGACTCCAGCAGTGATAAAAGCTGTGAAGGCGCGAATTCAAAGAAATCCCAAACGTAAGCAGAAACTGTTGGCCCTTCAGATGGGGTTAAGCAGAACCACGGTGAAAAGGGTGTTAAATGAAGACTTAGGGCTTCGGGCATATCGAAGAAAAACAGGACATCGTTTGAATGCTCGTCTAATGGACCTGAGACTGAAGAGATGCCGCGCTTTGTTGAAGCGGTACGCGGGAAAAAAATATCGGGAAATTCTTTTTTCGGATGAAAAAATTTTTACCGTAGAAGAGAGCTACAACAAACAAAATGATAAGGTGTACGCACACAGTAGTGAAGAAGCGAGCAACCGTATTCCGCGTGTCCAACGAGGTCATTTTCCATCCTCGCTCATGGTATGGTTGGGAGTTTCTTATTGGGGCTTAACAGAGGTACATTTTTGTGAGAAAGGTGTAAAAACGAATGCAGTTGTGTATCAAAATACAGTCCTGACGAACCTTGTGGAACCTGTTTCTCATACCATGTTCAATAACAGGCACTGGGTATTCCAACAAGATTCGGCGCCAGCTCATAGAGCGAAGAGCACACAAGACTGGCTGGCGGCGCGTGAAATCGACTTCATCCGGCACGAAGACTGGCCCTCCTCCAGTCCAGATTTGAATCCGTTAGATTACAAGATATGGCAACACTTGGAGGAAAAGGCGTGCTCAAAGCCTCATCCCAATTTGGAGTCACTCAAGACATCCTTGATTAAGGTAGCCGCCGATATTGACATGGACCTCGTTCGTGCTGCGATAGACGACTGGCCGCGCAGATTGAAGGCCTGTATTCAAAATCACGGAGGTCATTTTGAATAAACTTTAGTGTCATAAGAATATATGTTTTGTTAAGTTCATTTTGGTATATGAATGGTTACAGAATGAATAAACTTATTTCAATTATTTTACATTAAACATGTGACAGAATTTATGACCTGACTAGGTATTTCAGCTACACCCTAACGTGTGTGGGTGAGCTCACGGGGCTCAAACCGGTTGCTAACACTGACCCTAGCAAGAGCAGTGCTTCGCAGAATCTACCACCGGATCGAAAACGACCCACTGAGAAGATCCGGCGAGAAACTCAGTGGGCTGTGTCTATGGGTTAATTCGCTCGTCGAGCCTTTCGTCGCAAGCGACGGGTTCGACGAGGACGGTGACCGGATCGCGACAAGTCCTAACACCAATAAGTGCATCATGCGTTACCAATACTGTTTACCTTTGTATTAATGTATCTTTGTCGCTAAGAGCATTCCGGAGCGCATCGAGTTCCCTGGTGACGTCACGGGCTCCAGCGCTTCGTCGCCGCGGACCCGACAGAGACACTTCGATATTCGCCATCTGCAACATAAATGAAGAGTTAAATCTGCTCGAAGAGTCGCCCTTCAACGGAGATTATGGCGCAGATACAGATACCTGCTATATGCTAGAATGGCTTACGACAACTACTTTCTTCATCAGATATTGATTAAATTAAATTTATTTGTGGTAGGACCTCTTGTGAGGCGGCGCGGGTAGGGTACCACCACCCTGCCTATATCTGCCGCGAAGCAGTAATGTGTTCCGGTTTGAAGGGTGGGGCAGCCGTTGTAATTGTACTTGAGGCCTTCGAACTTATATCTCAACGTGGTGGCGCATTTACGTCGTAGATGTCTATGGGCTCTAGTAACCACTTAACACCAAATGAGCTGTGAGCTCGTCCACCCATCTAAGCAATAAAAAAATATCTTAGGTTCGCAAATTTGTGGTTGTTGTTGTTGTGGTCACTAGTTGTGATAATGTGTTTATGATGTCGCAAGAAGTGTTTTTTAGTTTTAAAGCTATATTTATTAAAATTAAATATTTGAGCATCTACTCTAGATGTTTGAATAGAATCAATCAATAGAAGTATGCAGTAAAAGTACTCTTTGATGGTTTTTAATATGGTATAATATACCTTACTCGCGTACGGTATACTGGTTTATATCGGAGTTGGAACAAGTTCTAAATCAACACAGTTGGCATGTAATCTACACTCGATAAAATAATTAGCTGTCTTGTAACTTTGCATCATTTCATTAGAACTCAAAGTGTAAGGGAACCGCTCCTGGAAACAGACCGGTTGTGCGGCGCTGAAGATGATTGGCACCAGAACACTAAATCTTTTTTGTAGCTTAGATGGGCAGCCGACTCTTCTCTGAAGTGCCAATAACAACTGTACTAAGTTTTAAGTCGAAGTATGTTGAAAGCGCAAAACAATCACGCATACACATTTTTATACATTACAAGTTTGACGAGCACAGTATCTGATGCCAAACAGTTCTCGCCGGAACGGCTGCCACCCGCCGTGAGGAATATGATTGCTAAGAAGAAGCCGTCAAACCTAACGTATGATCGCGGCTGCTTCATTGAAACTTGTAAGTCTACTTAGAGGCTATTTTTAATTGGGAAATGCTCAGAGGACTTGTGTGACATAATTCCGACACCCTCTTTTCTCCATCGCACTATCCACCACGGAGCCGTGTGCATTTCCAGACATATTTTTTTGCTAAATACCATGCAGATCTGGGATGAATTACTCTTCAAAGGGTTTCTAGAGCGCTATGAGTTTTTATTTTTATTTTTTATTGCTTTGATGGGTGGACGAGCTTACAGCCCACCTGGCGTTAAGTGGTTACTGGAGCCCATGGACATCTATAACGTAAATGCGCCACTCACCTTGAGATATAAGTTCTAAGATCTCAGTATAGTTACAACGGCTGCCCTACCCTTCAAACCGGAACGCATTACTGCTTCACGGCAGAAATAGGCAGGGCGGTGTTACATACCCGCGCGAACTCACAAGAGGTCCTACCACCAGTAAATTTTCTTCTTCAAACGAGATTTGAAAAGAGTCCTCCGCGGTAGGCAACGACTTGCCTGTACCCTTGGCATAGCTGATATCTGTGAGTGACGTGCGTGGGTAAAATTCATTCTACTAACAATATTTGTACGCAAGCTAACAGATTTCCGGGATTGATAATTATACGATGTTACTCATGCATTGTGAAAGTCGTTCGTGAGCATCAATGTATGTACAAAGGTAATACCCACATAACAAACTATAAGATTGCAAGCAGACGGTGTGATCGCAGTGAACCTAATTTACATAAGCGAATGTATTGCAATCAGAATCGCAAGCATCCAAGCATCGCGCTGGATCTGATCTCGACTATCTGCATTATAGTGCAGTGAAATGCAATGATTTCATTAACATTTTGACGGGCGTAAACGGTCATACGATCTAAATGCCCACCAACTAAAGACTTGTTGATTAAGCTATGACCGGATGCCATATAGGTATGTTACATCCATAGCGTGAAAGGCGAGGTTTAATTTAAACTTTATTGGCACGCAGAAAAGCAATAAAACAGATGGTTTTAAAATAATATCTAAATCTAAACTGCGAAAAAGGGCAATTTGTAAAAAGTGTTAATTAGCTGCTGGATTCTCGTACTCACGGTCCACCAGATTTTGAGACTACTCACTCCCGTACTCCGAACACTAGCCCGAGTACGGCCCTATGGCCCTACTGTGGAGTTACTATGAGCAAACACCCAGTTATCTGACCTTTGAAACCGGAGCGTATGACTAGAAATAGAGAAGACAGTGAGTGGTATTTATACGCGCGGGCTCGAAATAAGTAGAAGCCACCTATCTAGTATTATGGAGGTAGTATAACAGGAGGAATCTTTTCTTCAGCATTCACAACAAATATACTAATTTATTACATACAACATACATACAAACGTTTATTCTAATTTATATAGATTATTGGTTCACTGATTCTTGCACTGTGTCCTATGTTACGCAGGAAATTAACTTTATTTATAGTTTCAATTCAGTTGGAAGTTTCTTCCCAACTATTGTTTCAAGGAAGTTAATCGTCGTCGGCCCTTCCCATGACTGGTTACTGTTTCCACAAACATGTCTCTGTTCTCGCGTTTGAATTCTTAATCTATTTTTCCTTTCAAGCTCTGTGCTGCTGATGTGTTTACAGATTATTTTTACACTATTGTTGTAGATGAACAAACCTGGTCTTAAGTGGTAATAGACATTACAACGGGAACGTTACCAACCAACTTCAAATTTATTGCATCTAATGGTGAATGATCACCATTGCCCAAAGGGCAGCAATGCGAGGGGCACTGGCAAGCCACTGTTTACCGTTAACGGATATATTCCTAATTATAGCTCATTTTAAAGAAATTCATACATAAAGAACATTCGAGAAACGATGAGGACAAGAGTAAGTTTTTTTTCCTAACTATGCCTATATGAACGTAGATAGCCTTGAGAGGCGATTTCAGCTTCACACTAGCGTGTAGGTGAGCTCTCGGGGCTCAAACCGGAAGTATTGCTAACACTGGCCCTAGCAAGAGCAGTGCTTCGCAGAATCTACCACCGGATCAGCAACGCGACCCGCTGAGAAAATCCAGCGAAAAACTCAGTGATCTGTGTCTGTGGGTTAATTTACACGTCGAGCCCTTCGTCGCAAGCGACGGGTTCGGCGAGGACGGTGGCCGGTAAAGTTAGTTACGTACCCCGATGCTACTTGGCTATGTGACTATGTGGCAATTCCAGGTCGTAAGAAGTAATATATTGATGAATAAACTGAAAGAAGAAATATTCATAAATGTCGTATTAAGTCTTTTGATTTCTCTGGTCACTAGATAGTAACCCGCTGGAGCCGTTCACTCTTTCATACATCCTTTAGCTTGATGCGTAGATGAAATCGAAATAAGCATAAAATCGAATGGTCAACTCGACTAACAGCCGTGTAATAATCGAAACGTGAAAATGCCTGACACGCCCGCCCGAACAAATCGCATGAATTAAAAAGCCACCCGCCGCCGCGCCGGTCAATAGATTCGACATAGGAACGGAATCACCACATAGCTACGAATAATAAAACTATCGTAGCTACATAGTATAAAACAAAGTCGCTTTCTCTGTCCCTATATCCCTATGTATGCATAAATCTTTAAAACCACGCAACGGATTTTGATGAGGTTTTTTTAATAGATAGAGTGATTGAAGAGGAAGGTTTATATGTATTATAGCATCCAATAAATAGTGGAGAAATACTGTTATTTCTGAGGTTTCTAATGTGATGTCGTAAATAATCAATAATAAAATTTCATGTTTCCGAAGCGAAGCGAGGGCGGGTCGCTAGTAAAAAATAACTTTAAACCACTTCACGTCGTAGACTTCACGGCTTAAGGTTGTCTTTAGTGGGTCTATTTTAGAATTTCGAATTGTGAGAAGACATCACTTGTACGGGCTATTGCCCTCGCCCGGCCTATTGACTGATTGACATCGACGGTGAAGGAATAACATCATGTAATAAAAATAAAATCCGCAAAATTATAATTTGCGTAATTACTGGTGGTAGGAGCTCTTGTGAGTCTGCACGGGTAGGCACCACCGCCCTGCCTATTTCTGCCGTGATGCAGTAATTCGGTTTGAAGGGTCAAGCAGCCGCTGTACCTACTATAAAAACTGAGACCTTAGAACTCATATCTCAAGGTAGGTGGTGATATTTAACTACTTTTCTGTAACGAAATTAGCTTAATAAGAAAAGGCAGGCTGGCCACACCCAATCCACTCAGTCCACATAAAGAGCTTGAAACTCTTAGATCTCAAAAATAAACGTAAGCTGATTCTCGTTATGTTGTCAACGGACTTATTTAATTACCCAAATTATGATTTAATTATGATTTAATTACCCATTCTTGACTATTGGTAATAATAGACATTCGGACGTTAAATTAAGTCAATTAATTTAATTGAAACTTCAACATGAAAACCTTCGTGATAGTGATTAATTGACCGTTATGGAAGTAGACACATAAGAAAAAAACATATTACGTAAAAGAGACATTTAATAAGACGTAATGACATTAAAAAAAGGAAACGAAAGCGTATTAGTTATATGAAAGTGTGAATAAAACCTTCTTGAATGCTTCTTATCTTTTTTGCTGCATTTAAATGTCACTACGTCTCGACACGACAATTTACAAGCCCACCTGAGATAACATATCTCTGAATACAACAAATAATATACCTAGTTCTTTGAATTCGTATGCGTTGGGAGACGAGGTATCAACTTCAATATGGAAGTGGAACTTAATGCGTTTAGGAAGTTGATGAAATTTTATTTGAAGTTTATTTTATATTTATGTCTTATTTATTATATAAACTAGCGACCCGCCCTCGCTTCGCTTCGGAAACTGTAATTTATTATTGATTTCTCCACTATTTAATGGATGTTATTATACATATAAACCTTTCTCTTCAATCACTCTATCTATTAAAAAAAACCGCATCAAAATCCGTTGCGTAGTTTTAAAGATTTAAGCATACATAGGGATATAGGGACAGAGAAAGCGACTTTGTTTTATACTATGTAGTGATGAGACATAAATATAAAAAACGAGAACAAAAGTACATAGATCCAGACACCAAGTGACAATATCCTTAACAAATAAAACTGACTTCGATCGGGATTCGAACTAATTGAATCACTTATGTGATGGTAAAGTGAAGTTATTATTGAATAATTTCTTAATGGAGGTGCTGCTGTTGCATTGTCTCACCCGTTTTTGCCGTAAAGTACTTTCAAGCAATAATTATTGGCCGACTTCAAAAAGGAAGAGGTTCTACGTTCGATTGTCTGTATTTTACACATTAAAATTTATGTGCATCGATTGATCTGTCCCGTGTAGATCGATTTTGAAATATTTTTGCTGTTTGATAGGATACACTCGAGGAACTACCCGTTGCTAAGCTTATTTTATGTATCAATCTTGAAGTCTGTTTTGAATCTTTTTTAGATTATAATTTTTAAAATTAATAGGTATGTTATTTGATTCCTGGTTGAAGTAAGGTATCTTCGTGAATGATATTTGATGTTCAATAGTACAACGTGCTCGATATTTTCCGGTTTCCAGAAAATAGTTCACATCCATTCAATTTAGAATGTTTCGTTACTGATTCATAGTTTCACTTAGTTATTTTCGTAGCTTCGAATAGTTAACAATTTTTTTTTACATTTACGTAATAAATACCGTACCGTTAGTTTTAATCTGGTCAAACACTCGCAAAAACCGAAGATAAAACTAATTTCAAGCAAATTATATACGACAGCACGTTATTAATATTACCATAGTGCATAATATGACAATAAAAATACGCAATATTCTGCTTTCGTAATGTTTGTAGGATATCCCAAAGATTCTAAGTTACGCCTCAATCCATGCGACCTTTCACTCTCTATTATACAGAAAGAACCAAATTAAATAATAAAAAACACCAATAACCGGTTCTACATCCTTAAAACAGTCTCGCGGTCCGTTACGTCCGGTCACATGGTCCAGTATATGTGACCTGAACCGCGGCCTAATCACATATTGCGCGTGTTTATACTACCATCATTGTTTCCTATTAATTTTAGACATATTTTCTAAAGTTACCTAGAATAGTATTGGCACCAATATTTTGATGTTTTTAATTGGACTTCAACTAAGCTTACTCCATGCAAACAGCGAAGAACCTTTTTTGTAATTTTTATATATTTTCAAAATTAAGTTTAAAATTTTTATTGATTGGCTCTCATGTAAAGTAGCAAAAATGTCGCTTAAACCAAATCGCTTTTAACCCCTCGATATGATATGAAATACTAGTAGAGCCATAGCTTGAAATTGCGCAAACATTATTTATCGTCCAGCGGTACCTTCGCAAATAAATTCCCTGACGTACTGTATGTATAAAGTTCCAAATCAATCGCATAAACTATCCCTTAGAACACAAATAAACAAATAAACTTTGGCACATAATGCGATCCTCATTGCACAGCCTGGAGAAACTCACAATTCTCGGACAAATGGAGGGGAAGCGCGCTAGAGGAAGAGCGCCAGCTAGATGGGTGGACCAACTCAAGAAGGTGACTGGAGGCCAGATACAGGGAGCGGTACATATGGTGCAGAACCGGACCGAGCGGAGAAGATTGACTTACAGTCACGATCCTCAGCATTGAGGGAACGACCAGAAAAAAACAAACTAGACAGACACAAATATTATATATATAAGGGATTTTATGACCTGGTAACTAAGACCTTTAAGTCATGTCTTATTTTAATTTATATTCATATTTTTATGAAAAATGATATTATGGAGTGAAATGAAATGAAGATGATTAATTTGAGATATTAATCAACTGGAATGAAATGAAATGAAATGAAATGAGATGATATGGGATGAAATATAATCTCAGTAAAATGGTGGTCATTTACTAAGATTTTCTCAGTGGACTTTTTGGAGGATCCCGAGAAGTTACGTCCAGCGGCTTTATTTCATGTTCCCACATTTGTGCACTTTCACAGATATTAAACAATTAATAAACCACCGTTATTACACATTTAAACCTGAAGAAACACTAAATAGACAAAATAAAACAAATCACACAACTTCACTCCTCGCGTTCCCGCCAAAAAGTCGACACAAATATTAGTTTTACTACACATTAGATAATAAAAAAACCACATGCTCACAATCGCCATTGTTAATAATGTAGTTGATTTATAATGATTTAAGATATATTGCCATCTCCAGTAATGATATAGGCAAAAATTAACAAATTAAAAAGAGCAAACGAAAGAAAGTGTGACGACTCGAAAGTACGAAGCTGGTGTTAATGCATTTTAATTAAATGTTATAATGTTCATGTTAATGCCGGTACTCATATACATGAGTGTAAAATATGTTTATGACGAAGGCAGTTAAGAATGTTCGTTAAAGACCGTTATTAAAGGCATAGATAATACAGATAAATTTGTTATAGATAAGCAAACCCTAGCACTCAATAAAAATGTTTACGGGCGTGGGCCACTAGATGGCTTCGCTTCGATTAGTTTCCTCCTGTAGATGGGAGTAACATATTACCTACCCTATATTTTATTTTTAACGAAGAATTTTGTAAATTTACAGAAAATACAAATTGATAAAATTTAATCAATTTGTCTTTAACAAATGAAGATTTGGATGATTTATTATTATTATTTTTTCTGTGTAAACAATAATTAAATGCCTTAACTTCAACAACATATAAGTTTAGGGGCATTCGCTACAAGATATCGCTAGTTTCCATACAAAAAAATATTCGTCTTAGTGTCTTAGTGAGTGGTTACCGTCGCCCATGGACTTCAGCAATGCCAGGGGCAAAGCCAAGCCGCTGCCTGCCTAACATTTTATTGACACCGCAGAAAGGTTTTTAGCGGAAATATATCAACTCGGTGGCACAGTAGTTCATCATACATCGTTCGTGTGATGAACAGGTTTGGTTGCTTGTCTTGGGTATTTAACATCTATATCTGTGTTTATTAAACGCATCTGGTGCTCATGGTACAGGAATCTTATTTTAGGTCTCTATCTAATCTCATTTTAGGTAGGTAGGATTTGACTCTAATTTTTTATTAAATATGGTTGTTTGCCTAATTTTCAATTGTCAACTGATAATAAGTAGTGACTGTTCAAAGTATTATTGCACGTCAAACGTGCCATGTTCATAAGGATGTCGATAATGACAGAGTGTAACGCACTGCCTAATAAAACTCATAATACCAATTGGGAATTTTTGTCATGTCATGTACTTTTTACTTTACTTCGCATACCATGGACCGCCAACAGAACAAACCAATCTATTCTCCAGCAACTTCGCGTAAAAACGAGACTGTCTGCGACCTATTACCAAAAATGTCTTAGTTACTTTGGTCACATAGCTCGACGGCAAGCAGACAACCTTGAAAGATTGTTTGTGGTGGGCATGGTAGAAGGGAAAAGACCTCCGGCCGGCCACCAAGTCGTTGGTCGGATCAAATGGCCGCGCTCACCGGACTCTCTGTTACGCCGTCCTGAGGGAAGCCGAAAACCGAAGTGGAAGGTGATCGTACAAAGACGAAGGCCTTTCAAGGACACGAACTTCAGCAATGAAGAAGCAAGAAGAAGAAGTAATAAGGCTTACTAACCTTTGCCTCTAGACTATCCAGGTTGACCACGCCCCCACCACCGGCCTCCAAGGTTTGCTGAAAAAAAAACACTATTATTGTTTGTCATAATTTCTTCTACTGCTAGATAGATGATGATGCTCCTAAGGTAAAACTGCCCGTTTCTACCGCGAGGCAAAGATGCGTTTAGGTTTGAAGTTGAAAGACCGGACAGTCCTATCAAGATTTCGATCACGAGTGTTACAGTTGACGGCGGCGGTTACGTTGAGGAACAATATTTACACATTACACACCAAATCGGATTAACTTAATCGCGCATATGATAATCTTCAGTAATTTTGACGGCGTTTTTTTTTATTGCTTAGATGGGTGGACGAGCTCACAGCCCACCTGGTGTTAAGTGGTTACTGGAGTCCATAGACATTTACAACGTAAATGCGCCACCCACCTTGAGATATGAGTTCTAATGTCTCAGTATAGTTACAACGGCTGCCCCGCCCTTTAAGCCAAAACGCAGTACTGCTTCACAGCAGAAATAGGCAGGTCGGTGGTACCTATCCGTGCGGACTCACAAGAGGTCCTACAAGAGTGATTACGCAAGTTACAATTTTACGGGTTTTTTATTTTTATTACACGATGTTATTCCTTCACCGTGGAAGTCAATCGTGAACATTTGTTAAGTACGTATTTCATTAGAAAAATTTGTACCCGCCTGCGGGATTCGAACACCGGTGCATCGCTACATACGAATGCACCGGACGTTTTATCCTTTAGGCTACGACGACTTAAAAATTTTGACGGCGATAGCCCGTATGAGTACACCGGCACCACCTTCCGGCTTATTCCTGCCATGAAGGAAACTTGTGTCGAAACATATTATGTAGCCTTCCTGACTAAATGGTAGATGTTTTTTTTCTACATATGCCTTCCTGGTGCATTCCCAGTTGCGGAGCATGTTTTTTTGGACTTAATGAGATGTGTTACCAATGACTACTCTGATTACTAATTATTATTGAACATGTAATTCGACGAAACATGAATAACATCCAACAAGTACACGATCGACACGTGAGCACGCAATCTGCTTTCTCCTTCCCAGAGCATTCCATTACTAGCTCGTCTCTGTTAGCTGAATACGCCAATGTTATTTCCATACGCAGAACTGATCACGTTTTCAATACTCTTATAAATCGATCTATATCCTTTTACAAGCTTGTGCCCCAAAATTAGACATTCTCAAGGTATATACCATGTGTGTACTCCTTTTTGTATAGCTTTGAACTAAACTGTTATTGTATTTAGTTTGATTTTGTCTTGTGTTTTCGGGTATCTGATTGCGTGCGGCTGAGCGGTTTTATTGAGGTATCATATTAGTAATTAGTGGATTTTTTTTGGAATACGTATAAATTTTCATTACCAGCTATAATGTTGTATGTTTTACTAAAAAAAAAAACATGTATCTATATATAAGAGTATGACCAATATACGACCGTGTTCAATAATTAAAAGCTTTCTTAGATTAACTCGTAAAAAAATCATAAGTGAAATCTCTATGTAGATTGTTTTTATTACTGCGTATATGTATGTATAACAATAGGAGACATAATAAGAACCAATCAGGCACAATTTCGTGGCTGGGCATAGCTACGCCACAACAATTTTTAATTTGTTTATATTGGTGAGAACCTTTAATTGGCTTTTTGTTTCTATTATTTGTTATATTATTATACTTTGTTAGTTGGCTGTTGGTTCTCCTTGTATTAAATAAATAAATAAATAAACAATATGGAGTTTACTACGTCTTGAGTCTTGAGATATGAGGTCGAAATCTCAGTTCTTACACTACCTCTCGCGGCATTATTGCATTTTAGAAACATAGGCGGTACTTACCCATGCGAGTCACAACATTACAGAAGGTTAACTACTAATTTATGTAATATAATTCTGTATTAATTGTCTAAATTACATTCGACATTACTACGAACAATAGGCAACAAATAAACTCGACACGGTTCCTTACAATGGCCCGTGGGTTTGACGCGATTCTCAGCGAGCCACGTGGAATTAATCATTATGATTTAATAATCCTAATCCTAATGTATTATGTATCTATTTAGAATACACAAAAATCTTATCCATTGTATATACTAATATTGCGAAAATGAATAACGGGTTGGTTTGACGGTAGGCAGTAGCTTGGTTCTGCCCCTGGTATTGCTGAAGTACATGGGCTACGGTAACCACTCACCATCAGATGGGCCGTATGCTCGTCTGCCTATAAGGGCAATAAAAAAATATATAAAAAAATTGAGTTTTGTTATTGTTTTTTTTGTTTCGCTCTCAAGTCTCTATTACTCATCCGATCATTATGAAATTTTGCCTATTGTACTATTATCGAGGGATGAACTTTCTTTTCCATATTAGGGCGACCGAAGACGACTGTTAAATATAATAATTTAAGGAACAGTGAATCTCCTCTAAATTAAGATACAAAATGTTGGTAAATGATATTAATAATATTATTATACCTAATAAACTTTATGAAATTATTGTCTCATTCGGTGTTTGTCTGGAAGAGATCGCTTTTAATCATAATTCTTGCCCTTATATAGATATACTGGATTAAATCCTTAAGTAAGGTAATAAATCTAGACAGTTCTTGGTTCAATAGTGGTCTCGACCGCACATCTTTGCCTATCTTGTAGGTTTATGTATCTCTCTCTATTGCGGGCGTTAGAAGAGGATATCTAATAGGTCACGACCATGGCGTTAACGCTGCCGCCCACGCTGTGAGACGCGATCAGAGTCATTGGAATAAGCGTGTCCTACCCTTAAATCATCCTGCCACACGGTTGTCTAATTATGTATCTGTCTCACTCTTGATGCGACTAGCTGCATTCAATCAGAGATTTTTTTATTCTATTGCGTAGGTGGGTAGATGAATTCACAGCCCACCTGGTGGTAAGTGATTACCGGAGCCATAGACTTTTACGATGTAAAATGCCACTACTTACCTTGATATATGAGTTCTAAGGTCTTAGTTTTTATAGTACAACGGCTGCCCCTCCCCTTCAAACCGAAGCGCATTACTGCTTCACGGCAGAAATAGGCAGAGTGTTGGTACCTACCCGTGCGGACGGGTCAAGACGTCCTACCACCAATAACAGTTTTCAAACAATATACGTTAGTTCTTGAAATCTACATGAGTTTTGTTGAATGGCGGTCATTACCATGTTTTCATTGTAACAATCCCGTTTTTAAATCATGTGAAATAATATTATACGTCATGTTATTGTTGTAGATATATGTTGTGTAAATGTTATGTATGTGGGTATCATATTTGTATTATTTAGTTAATGTAACACCAATTTTTGTACGGACGTTCTCACGTTCGAATTATTTATTCTATATGTAATCTACAGTGTAGGTGTAATCGGTTGTATTTTTGATTTGTTTCGTAATGATTAGATTTTCATTCGTCGAACTCGTCGAAGAGCTCAACAAACGAACTAACCCATAGACACAGCCCACTGAGTTTCTCGCCGAATCTTCTCAGTGGATCGCGATTCCGATCCGGTGGTAGATACTACGAAGCACTGCTCTTGCTAGGGCTAGTGTTACCAAATTCTCTTAGGTTGAACCCGTAAGTTTACCTACCCGTCCGCGCGTAATTGGAATAGCCTCTTAGGTTACCAAAGAATAAGTAGGGAAAAAAAGTAAGCGAGTGCAAAGGCCATCTGTTACCGTCCTCGTTGAACCCGTCGCTTGCGACGAAGGGCTCGACCAGCGAAATAATCCATAGACACAGCCCACTGAGTTTCTCACCGGATCTTCTCAGTGGGTCGCGTTTCCGATTCGGCGGTAGATTCTGCGAAGCACTGCTCTTACTAGTGAGCCCCGTGAGCTCACCTACTAGTTAAGGTTACGCTGAAATAGCCTCTCACGGCTATCAGCTTAGGTAGGGTAAAAAAAAAAAGATTCTTAATTAATTAGAGGTTGTGAGGATTTTAAAATTGCTATTGTGAATGCGCATTGCTATTATTAAAGTGAAGCGATTAGGTGTGTAGGCAGTTTGAAGTGTTAAATATCCTGAGGTTGATGATGTGGTTCTGTCTGGACGGGTTCCGGAGAGCCCACCTTCGGTCTGACGTGCCAATTATTTGGTGAACAGTATGGCATGGACTTACCAGTGACGCGGATCTCTGCTGTTTGCTGAGGTCATGGTGACTGCGGCTTCGGTCCTCTCCAGCATCAGAGAACTGCCCCGACTTACGACTGCGGTTGAAAAATAGCTTTTTAGTGCACGATTAATTGATTAATATTAAGGCTAAAATATAATGTAAGAAACGATAAGTGACGTGTGAGTTCAGTGTGGGCGCCATTTGGAAGGTAAGGCCAAGTTGACTTATAACATGGGCTGCCCTGTTGCTTCTCTGGGCTATTTCTGAGCTGAGGTGCCAGAGTAAGAACTATTTCCGTTTAAACCCAAACAGAAGAGGGCCATTTGGATTGTTGATAATTCTGAGTACACGGATAGCTTGGAACCTCTGGGTCTACAGAGATTGTGGTGCTCTCTGTGTTTTATACAAGATATTTCATGGCGAAGACTCTAAGGCATTTGTTGAGATGATACTGTCATCTCTTTTTTTACCCTCACTACCGCCACGGAAACCCAGTTCATCCCTACCGCCCTATTAATATTACAATTTGTACAGACCGATAAATAAAGAGTATGTTATTACATAAAACGGTGGAAAGCGTTAGTGTGAGATTTTAAATGTACGTATAAATAACTGATAAGTAATTTCGGCTACACTTTGCTGTGGCTTTGACGGATATTAATAACTTCCTTATTTGAACCGGATTTCGGTCATGATTTTATGGGTTTTAATTTTTTTCGCACGGAATATTTACATTACTATGTTACGTTGAAATTATTGTGTTCTCTCTGCTTATTAACGATGAAAAGAATATAGTCTAAACTATTTAGTAATTATTTATTGTTTTGTAAGTTCTACGATACTTTCAAGGCAACAGTAATATGATAAGTCTATATTGAAACTCAGCCAACGGTCCAAGGTTACGGAATTGGGCCATAGTTTTTCTTTAAAATCTCGAGTTACGTCAGCCATGACGAGACGCCGAAATAATATAATTGTAAATGATATCCAAAGTACTTTGCAAAATATTTGATACTTGATGCTTTCGTTGACTAACTATGTTTCGATCGTATGGATCTAGAAATATGAAACTATGACTAAATGTGTGTACGTTGAGGCCACAAATAGAAAAAAATATGAAATAATTTCTCAAAAACAAAGGCTCGGGTAAAGGTAATGTCGGTAAGGTTCGGTCTACAGGATCGGGTATGTAATTCCCAGCGGCCATGACAAGAGGGTTCTCATGTCGTGCCGCCTTCTCAAAGTGGCGCAATGATGCCAACTGTAGATATTTACTGACTGAAAGCGGGCACCCGAGATCGGTAATGCAGTGGTAGATTTAATTCTTTTAATGTTCCTTGTACGATCGATCTTTATATGAACCTTTACCACAAGCTGCTTGTCTTGTATCGGAATTCCAACATAGAATATTACAACATCATATTAAATTCATATTACCATAAGTAGAGATATTGTGTGGGTGAGCGCGGTGTTCATCTCGAAACTTGTATGATACTAGTAATATTATTATTACAATTTCATATATTTACAGAACAATACGTATTATTCACTGTTGTTTAAAATTACCAACAATCAATAAAACTACTAATTTTTTGTGTGCTGTAAATACTGAGATAGAAGATCTCACGGTGTATTTTTTGGCTGGAACACAAGGAGTGAAGTTGTGTGATTTGTTTTATTTTGTCAATTTAGTGTTTCTTCGGGTTTAAATGTGCAATAACGGTGGCTTATTAACTGTTTATTATCTCTGAAAGTGCACAAATGTGGGAAAATGAAACAAAGCGGCTGGACGTAACTTCTCGGGATCCTCCAATAAGTCTACTAAAAATATCTCAGTAAATCACCACCATTTTACTGAGATTATATTTCATCCCATCCCATATCATCTCATCTTATGTCATTTAATTTCATCCCAGTTGATTAATGTCTCAAATCTTCATTTCATTTCATTTCACTCCTTATTATCATTTTTCATAACAAAAAAGATTTATAAATTAAAATAAGACATGACCTAAAGGTCTGAGTTACCAGGTCAGAAAATCCCTTAAAAAAAAGATCTCACGGTTATAATCATGCGACACGAGGTCAGAATCTCACTGTGGTCAAAGTAGATAGGATTTGGAATTATATTTTCCTCAATTATAGCTTTAATTACCTAGAAGCTGGTTTCCGATGAGCCCGGCGGCCCCCGCTTATCATAGAGAGGGTGCTCATCACGGCCGACATGATGATCCAGTTTCGGACTCATGTGATCTGCTGAAAAAAATAACGATTTTAGCGACATCACATATAATTTATGTGCACTTGGGTAACTTGACACAAAGTGCAAGAACAGACTTTTCACGTTGAAAAATATACTTTTTTTATGATTGAAGCATTACTGGTGGCCCGGAGGCCTTTCCAATTTCACCAGAACAGGTGGGCGAGCAAAGGCTCAGCCTGGAGGGGTGGGATTTGCTAACAGCTGCCCGAGCGCCTCTGAAGGAGACCTAACAACTCAAGAGCAGCTGCGCGAATGAATCTACTACCCGCTGAGAAGATCCGGCGAGAAACTCAGGGGCTGATGCATGGGTTAGGTTGCAACTCTTTGCCGAGTTCGACGAGTACGGTTACCGGGGTTCCCAAGCCTAGAGTTAGAGCTGAGGGCATTTAATGCAAGAGTTATTAGATCTGATGGATCCGTAAGGACGTGTCTAGGGCAACGACGGTGACTGGCTCTTGCGTGATCAGGATTCGGGGAGTAGTCAGCGGCGGCAACGATAAGGCGATTATCATGACGCATAGTCTTATCTAGGTAACGTTCTGACGCTGACTTTATGTGTTTGCGGGGGAAAATATACCTAGACACTAAACCTGGCCCGGCGTCCCGAGGGGGAGGGTGATGGGAGAGATGTGCTCCGCACTAAACGCTTCACTCTCCTCCCCTTGCCTTTTCATGAGTTCTGTCTCATGCGAGGGTTGGACGTTGGTTGTTGAGCGACAGGAGGTTTTAGTCGGTTCGACTCCGACATGCCCCACCCTCCATCCCCAGTGGAGGGTGGGAGTCCGGATATTTCCTCCTGACAAAAAAAAAAAAAAAAAAAAAAAAAAAAAAAGACACTGTTTGGAAGCTACACTGTTCCTGAGTGACATAAAAAAATTAGGGATCCTTACTAAAGCTCAAGCTCTAATAATGTAACCCAAGGTGTAAAAAAATTACCTAAAATATTCTTTACATTGCGTGCCCTGCGAAAACTATTGAAGATAGAATAAAATAATGTACTACGACTTTGTAGAACACATTATTATTTACAAAAAGTGTCGGGACAGCATATGTTTAACTATTAATAAAATAGCGTCAAATATCGTTGAAATTTTTGTTAAACACCCGAGCGGAGCCGGCCGAAGCGAGCCGCTAGTATTAAATATTTTTGACAGAGTTACTGACTCTGACTTGGAATGTAGCCCGGAGCACGTAGTACAGTGGGCACTATCATTAGTCAAAGGACCAACGAGTTAACAAAAATAATCTGAGATTAAATTCGAAGTGTGATTACAATGCAGTATTTAAAAATCTACATTTCATAAAATTACTGTTATATAAAACTTAATACCCAATAAAAGTTATTTCATGTAAAATAATATAATAAAATGTTTTAATTTACAATAGGAATGACGACTTAAGCGTCTAGATAACATAAAAAAGGCCTATGTACCGATAACAAATCATATGTCAAGGCAGACAAAATAAACTAGCTAAACATAAATGTTTTTGCACACAAACTGACAATATGTCTAAACATAAACCTCGCAATTTACGAATTTATACAGAAATAGCCTTAAGACTATTTTTGTAAGCTGTTAAATCCTCAAAGCTACATTAAACTGCAGAGTTAATGAAATTATAGGTTATAGTCGAGGATAAAGTGTAAGTGCATGAAGATTGTTACAATGTACAGAGATATTAAGTAAAATAAAGTTTAATTTTAAAGAGCAACATAATTTATTATATACTATTCCCATATAAAAACGTTCACCAAACATTTACTGGTGGTAGGACCTCTTGTGAGTCCGCGCGGGTAGGTACCACTGCCCTGCCTATTTCTGCCGTGAAGTCAGTTTCGGTCTGAAGGATAGGGCAGCCGTTGTAACTATACTGAGATCTTAGAACTTATATCTCAAGGTGGGTGGCGCATTTACGTTGTAGATGTCTATGGGCTCCAGTAACCACTTAACACCAGGTGGGCTGTGAGCTCGTTCACCCATCTAAGCAATAAAAAAAAAACATTTCAAAATTTTGAACCTGTGAAATCGGTGCTTTTTTCTATACACCAACGAAAGAGAAGATTTTTATCGAGCAAGTGGGTGTTAATGATCTGTAGGCTGATGAACTGAACGTTGTTTTTTGTTATATACACATTTATATTATGTATAATGTTTTGAAAACATCATCAGCGCGATTCAAGGCTTTCCCAAAATTCGTCTATTCTATGATAGCTGCCGTTAGACATCGTATTTATCGTTATTATGTATTTATATGCTGAAGATCGCACCAAGTTATTAACATTTATTATTTTTCTTTAAAATTGACTTAGTTTTTCAGGTTAATAACATTAATAATGAAATATTATAGTAGTGCCTTCGAATTTTCATTCTTTCAATATTAAATGCTAAGTACCATCGCTCTGCCCGTGTCTATTACACCTGCATATGTCCACCACCATACATTAAGGAAATATCTCCACTCTCTTGAGACATGAAATCCTTAAAAAGCGTCAGAAGAATCTAGCAGTAGCAACTAGACGTGGCTGCGTTCGTACAACTTCTGACGTGTATGGCCTGTTGTAGTGTTTGATTCACGACCATATGCCCAATGAATATAATCGGCGCCCACAAAATCCACTTTTCATTTCGTTTTGACCTCAACAAATAATATTGTGGCAAGTCTAAGACCATGACGGACAATTTCCCAAAAGTAACTCCGTGAGAAAGTACATATAATGAAACCCTATAAACCACAAAGAGCACTTATAGGTCACGCCCACAACCGCATTTCCGTTATTGCAATACAGATACAACATATTATGCCGTGGCTCAGTGGGATCACAGTTTGGAATTTGCAAATCTCTGGACTAGAGACGAGATAGAGATTTTTGATGAATTACGAAAGGCTGTTTGTAGGCTGTTCATTCATCTAATTTATTTGTTAGAAATGAGGGATATGGTAGCTTACTCAAGCACATGTTGACAATAGGTAAAAGACTTGCTGGAATAATCCTTAATGCTCCGCAATAGGAAATCGGAAAGCTCATATTTTTAAATTGCCACAACACAAACATTTTAGCATTTATGTCACACGTTGTGGTTGATTTTAAAAGTGTTATTAAAAAGGCGAACCATTGGGACCTACTTAGATCGTTTTGATTTCATTGAGAGGTTTTATGACCTTTAAATTGTTATGTTATTGAAGTCTGTGACCTGCAAATTAATCTGTTTATATCAATAATAATTTTCTTAACCACAATTCGATCCTAACAACCTCATGCAATTTTTATATTATTGTATACTTGGAATGAGACTGGTAATTGTAGACTGGCTATATTTGGGAGTGATTTTTGGCAAAGATGTATTTCACGGTGAGGAGGGTTATATATTATTATTATATATTACCAGCGAACCCGACAGACTTTTTCCTGCACACACATCTTAAATACGAAAATTTCAAAATTTTATTAAAAACACTGTTTTTTTTTTGTAGTGGACCGAATTTTGTAACTATACCATTCTTCAATCTACACAAAGAAACCCAAAATTTAATGAATATCGATCTAGCCGTGTAGGAAGAACTCCCTAACATATCTACGGACAGAAGAATTAAAATTATATATGGTGAGTATATTAAGATATTCCTTTTTTTGTATTACAGAGTAATGGTTTTTTCTACTTATTTTGAGTAAAAAAAAAAGAATGAAACCAGATGACGCACGTTGTATTAGTATTCGTATAGTATAAAGACGATACAGCTCCAGTTAATAACACAAGTTCCAAACATTCACAGTTATATACTTATAGTGAAATTATTCAAGACTCGCCTAAACCGGTCCAAGGCGCGGTTTACATTTTTTTATCTGTTTTGTTTCGTGCCATACAATCTTCTTTGAACTTCATTTTATTTTGTTAGTTTGAATTTAAACGCGAAACCAGCGGCATAAGTACGTAGCACAGGATGCTTTGTTGTCTTATAAACTTTCTCTACAATTTTATAAGAAACTAGCTGTACCCTTCCGCTTCGCTGGGCATTTAAAATTAACATTATTATTTCTCACCCCCACAAAGATTCTCATCATTAACGCCCCCGCAACTGGTGTAGGGAGTCCAACACTCATATAAATATTAGCCTATCCATTAAGTTTTTCTACATGGATACCAAGTCTCAAGTCAATCGGATGCATGGTTCAGTAGTTATAACGGGACATCCGTAAAAACCACTGTAGATTTATATATTAGTATAGATATGAGTTTATTGCTGGTGTCGATAGAGAATCTTCTGCAGACTGATCCTGTCTGTTTCTGTTATATAGTAATCGCGTGGTTTAGCGGGTAGAACAGCTCTTGTACCAATTTGCATTTGATTTTTTAGATCAATGTAGAGGGATTTCAAATATTCAGTAGTGTCATTCGGACACATCGGAGGCAATTCAGGAAATTTCCGATTTATGTTATTATGATAAAGTGCGGTCTCATTTTTCTCCAATTTTTTATGTGCCAGATATCTCGTATGAAGATACCTCAACATTAGCTCAAAGTATCTGAGGAATGTCGGACCAAAATTGTCGGAGAAATTCTTCACACTTCCTTAAATGTGAACCGTATGTTCCTTAATGGTAAAGTTGGTTTTGTAACAACCGGATTAAAGTAATACATAGATAAATAGCGTTGGTTGTATAAAAGTAAAGTAAATTTGGCGTTAGCGGGGAAAATATTCAAAAGATATACATATATTATATATATACACAATCAAGCGATTATCAACTTATTGCTTGGGGGCACTCTTTTCAGGCATTACGATGACCTACTTCTAACATGAGTCTTAGAGAGAGTTAGAAGAAAGATAGCAAGAAGGTACTTCGTGTGATTAATTGACATATTATACTTGTATATCAAGTCCTAAGATTACGTATGGTCATCGACTCTAGATGTATGTGGCCATCATTCGACCGATTATCTTGTCGGCGATGATAATAGAGCGCAAGAAGTCTCTCCGTGCTCTATCATTA